TTTAGCTACTGACTGAGCACTTGTCAAACCCTGGGTTTGATCCTCAGCACTGAAAACAAAACCTAAAACGACTCAAAAAGACATGATACGCATCCGCGTAAATGTGCTCGTTAAATAAGCATTTTTTTCCCAGGCTAGAAAAAACTAGTATTAGATTTGGACAGAATGAAAGAGGAGAAAAAAACCAAACAAATGAACAAACAAAACCATAAACGCTACCCATTATCCTGATCCCCAGGGATATTAATGGTGGTATGTGGGCCTCCAGCCTTCCCATACCAAATGTGCCTAATATCGTCTGATCTTGGAAGCTAAGCAGAGTTGGATCTGGTTAGCACTTGCGTGGGAGACTGCTGATGTTCGCACATAGTCATTTCTATGGGTTCGATATTCCGGGGGCACGTCTAAGCTTTTCATGACACGATTACCGAGGGCCTGGTGTGAGGCCTGTGCATGGTGCCGGCAGCACAGGAAGCTGTGTGCTGGCATACTAGCTGTTGGAAGATTTGAGTCTTGGCCCCTGAGTTTCTCTCCGATTTACATACAGCCCCTATATTCTGTAGGAATCAGATTTTTATTTTTATTTTTCTCTTAAGTTCTAAGTTCTTAGAATGCTGAGAGCTTTAGACCACTGTTATCAGGGCAATGCTGGCAGAGGCTATTAACTCATGAGCTGGGTTGGCCGGTCGTGTTTGGACGGTGGTGTGTGGGGGTGACAGGCTGTTACTTGGGACATTTTGAGGACATTTTGCTTTTTCTCTACTCACAGGCCCTGATGCACCTATGGCCAGCTTCTGTGGGGAGCTTTCCCCCAGCCTTCAGAGCTGAGCCACCCTTCAATGGCCCCAGCCCTGAAGGAAAGGCTGCCCACTCATGCTCCTCTGCTGGTTGCTTCCTAACCACCAGTTTCTGGCATACAGCTGTGTTTCTGCCTCGAGAGACAATGTCTGAAACCTGATGGTGGAGGGGATATGGCTGGGTCCTGTCTTGTGAACGGAAGAGGTCAACTTGCCCTGGGTGCCAATGAACGGAAAGTAGGAGGGGAGAGAGGACCATGCCACCAGGGTGAGGCTTCTTGACCCAGGGCAGGATGGAAGGTATGGGACACACCCAGCTCCAAAACAGCCCTCCATTGTCTGACTTCACCTTACTCTATCTTGACTTCAGGGACCACAGGCCATTCACATCCTCAGCCAAATCTGCCCAGTCCTCACCAGCTTCATATTGTACATGTCTCAGCCTATCCTCTTCCATCCAACCCTCTTCTTGTCATCAGAATCATCACATCCCCGCAGACATTTGGCTCCTGTTAGATTTCTCGCGATTACCGTGCCTGCTCTACAAGCCATTCCTCATGCTTCTGCAACTCAACATTTTTGTGTGACTCTCAGCCTCATGCATGCTAGGCAAGCGCTCACCATTGGGCTATATCGGCAGTGGCCCCCCTCCAGCCTTTTTTTCAAGACTCACGTAGCTCAGGCTGGTGTCGAACTCACCATGCCCTTGAGAATGACTCTGAATTTCTCATCTTCCTGCCTATACCTCCAAAGTGCTGAGAGTACAGGCATGTGCCACCATGCCCGGTTTATACCTTACTAGAGAGTTTATACCTTGCTCAGAGCCTCATGCATGCAGGGCAAGAACCCTACCCACTGGGCTACATTCCGAGTCCGTACTCTTTATTTAAGGCAGGGTCTCACTAAGTTACCCATGCCAGCCTTGAATTCACTCTCTAGCCCAGGGAGGCCTTGAATTTGTCATCCTCCTGCTCACCCTCCGGAGTGGCTAGAATTACAGACATGTGCGAACATGTCTGTCTCCACATTTCCTGTTTTTCTTTAAATGTCATTTACATAGAGACGAGTCAGTCCTCCAGCCTCAGCATCACCTGGGCCCCAGAAATGCAGAATCTCAGGCCCCGTTCCAAACCCAGCTAAGCAGAAGCAGCATTCAAAGGAAAGCTTTGAAGCCAGGCACAGAGGCTGACACGCGTAATCCTTGCTACTCTGGAGGCTGAGGCAGGAGTCTGAGGCAAACCTGAGCTACATTCGGAATTCCAGGCCAGCTTGAGCTGAGTGCAAGAGTGAAATCCTGACTCCGAAAACCAAAACATAAAATATTTCAAAAGTATTTTTCGGAGCAGTTTTAGGTTCCCAGCAGAGTTGGGTGGATAAGCATGAAGGACTCCCACAGGGCAGTGCTGTCCTCACCTTCAAGCTTCCTGGATCATCAACATTTTATGCCTCAGTGATACATCTGTTAAAGTCCACGAACCTACTCTGACACATCATTATCAAAGTCCTAGCTCAGCGTTCCCTCTGGGAGGTGTGCTTTCTATGGGTTTGAAACATCTATGATTAACAGATACATGGCTATAGCATTATGCAAAAGTTTCACTTCTCTGTAAAAATCCCCTGGACCGGAGACTGTCTTTTACCAAAAGCCCCAGGTGATAGATATGCATAATTAATGTATGGACAGTGCTCAAAGAGATAGTGCTACCACCCCATTCTAAAATCCTCCCGTGCCCTCCCAGGACAATATTAATTAACATTCAGATTCCAGATGGGGATCTGAGAGCTCGGGTCCTAGGCCTGGCTCCTTTCTGGTCCTTATGTGGCCATCACTGTCCATCTGCAGGTCCTCAGCAAGGGGAACGGTGCCTCTGAATTCATCTTCTCTTCAAAGTTCTCATCTCTGTAGTAGTCATATATATATAATGCTGTGATTACGGGAGTGCCTGTTTTCTTCCTTCCAGTGACCGTAAATTACATGAAGGAAAGAACTTATAATTTATCCCCAGGAGAGCCAGGCGTAGTGATGGACGCCTGTAATCCCAGCCCTTGGGCAGGCAGAGGCAGGCGGATCTCTCTGATTTCAAGGCCAGCCTGGTCTACAAAGGGAGTCCAGGACAGCCAACGAACGCAACACAGACAAATCCTGTCTCAAACAACCAAACAAAAATTATCCCCAGGACCAATAAATGTGCCTTGTACCCAGAAATGGCCTGGTATTTGTTGAATTTAATGCTTAAAGAGAATGAGCCAGAAAGCACTTGCCAAGAATGCAAGAAGCCTTGGGTTGGCTCTCTGCTGCGGCGTAAACTGGTCATGCTGGTAGATGTCTACCTAGAGGCAGGAAGGTCAAGAGTTCGAAGTCAGCCTCCGTTACCTAGTGAGTTAGAGGCCAGCCTGGGCTACATGAGACCCTGTCTATGTTGTCATTTATCACTTTGGTACCCTGCCCAGAATCCTCTCTAGCAATCTGCCCCCATCAGCTCTACTCCAGCCACCCTGCTCCCTCCTTTCTCAGATCATGGGTGTTAATAGTCAGGACCTTCTCCTTTTCAGGATTCTTGGGCGGTTAGTTCCAGCACTTACATATGCAAACTTGTTTGAGGACATGAAACCCCGACTGAACGACCTCTGGGGTAAGGTGGACATTCAGAGCTGAGATGTTTATGGAACTGGACACAGCAGTAGCTCATCAAGTTTTCCTGATGGCTAAAAATGTATTGCTGTTGCCTAATTCTCACTGATTTTTCTGCTACAGTTGCCACGCCTTGGTTTAAGTTATGTCTGTTTCTCTCTTTCTGAAATTTTTTTCACCCCACCCAGCGACTCCCAGCCCCATTTCTGGGTTTATGTTGAGTCTGGGAGTGCGTCGCTCACTTCCAGAAAAAGACTGCGACTGTGTGGTCATTGGACTTTTGGACTATGTACAGAAGCTGATGTGTGAATGGACACCTATGTCATGGTTGTCTGGGCTCTGCAACCAAGTTTCACAACTTGGGACAGGAAATTTAAACCTGTGGTGGGATGAGCTGTGTTTCCTTCGTCCTCTTCCCTTCCCTCTCCTGGTCTCTGACATTCTTAAATATTCTTAGCAGGGTTTTAGGAGAGTAACTTCACAACAGGGCGTCTGAGAATCCAGTGTCGGCACGCCCTGTGGCATTTCAATTTCCTCCTTGCTTGTGAGAAGTCAGTTTATATGCTATTCCTTAGAAAGCAGATCCTTTATCTTCCGACCTTAGAAAGGTCACACTTGCCAGTTACCCCATTAAAGAAAAGAAAAGTCACAAAGGACAAGGTGACCTGAGTGACCCATACAGAGTCCCCATCCCTTGGTGATAGTGCCTGAAGTCCAGTCTTTTTTTTTTTTTTTTTTTCCAATTTTTGTTTGTTTGTTTCTCTGTGTAGCCTTAGCTGGCCTGGACTCAATTTGTAGACCAGGCCTACCTGGAACTCACAGAAATCCACCTCTGCCTCCCAGAGTTCTGGGATTACAGACGTGTGCCACCTCGACAGGTGAGGTCCAGCATTTTAAAGAGCACCTACATAGACACAGGATCGCTTTGAGAACCAAACATTCTCTGAAGAACCCATAAGGAAACACATAGCCAGTTAGAAGTAACTGAAAGAGCCGTCTTTGTGCTACATCTTAGCTGTCGGATGCCAGTGCTGCCGTGTTAAAAGAAAGCAAAGTTTAAGAAGAAATGTTAAGAGAAAGATTTCACGCTAAGAAATTTCTCAGCTGCCCAATCTGCCCCAAATGAAAAAGATCATCATTGTCTTAGAGGTGGACCACATGAATCGAGTTGTATTGTAGAAATAAACTTTGGAAACCAGACTCCCAGACCGATGCTGTCGGCACACCAAAGGATGTAACTGAGTATCTGAAATTGACAGAAGAGGCCACAGCTCTACGGGTCTCTTTGGTTTCATGTGTTGTTAAAATAACACTTTCCCTCACCTCTATGTTAGAGTTGACGTTCTTGCTTTAACTTGCTTTCTAACTTGCTATGTGACCCTTCATGCCTTTTAACCTCTTCAAACCAGAACTTTCTTAGCTTTAAAGTATTCTGGGGACACTCTGAAGGGTCCTCCAGCTCTCAAAGTAAGCAGGAGAGGGACACAGGGTGAACAGACAGACACAGCACAGAGAACAGCACAATTCCCGAAACCCCAGTGAGCTTAAGTTCCTGAAAGTTCCTTCCTTACCTGAAGACATTTGAAAGAGAGCAACCAGCAGCACAAAGAGATGAATGAGCCTGAGAGGTGGAGACCTGAGGGATGGTGTGTCCTGCATCAGTCGGTAACCCATAGCTTCAGATGCTTTGGAAGGATGCTGAAAGCCAGGACTCTAGAGCCAGTGCTCACAAAAAACCGCGAAACAGAGCAGTATAAAAAGTCAGGATGGTACACAGCCAAGCAGACGCTGGAGAGAGTTCTATTGGTCCACAGAGATGGAACAGAGTTCTTGTGTCTCCGAAGGTCAAGACTGAAAAAGAAACTAGTAAGAGTCTGTTCAGTGGAAAAACTCCCAGTTGCTGTCTGAGATGAGTGAGAGTTCTTTATCTGACCTGCCCCTAAAGCAGGGTGGGGCCAGGAAGGGAACTCAAAGGTGGAGGGAACTCTAGGGGAGGTAACTTGTCCAGGCTTCTTCCGAGAACCAGCCACAGCTGGGTGAAAGGATTCTCTGCTTGTGTGTGTGTGTGTGTGGGGGGGGTGTATAAAACATTGTTAGAACACAGCGAGAACTTCCATTTCATAAACAGCAGCAAAAAGCACAGAGAACCTTCAATGTCACCTAGTCCAAGAAAGCTTAAATTCCATTCTGGACACATGCATAAACCCAGAGTGACTTGCAAAGGTATATTTGTCCAAGGTAATGTTTTAGTTAGGAGATTACTTCTTTATATTTTAACAATTCTCAGATCTTAAATTTAGTCAGTCCTACAAGGATAGCAATCGACAGAAAGGTCTGCCAACAAAAAGGCAGGAAAGGAAAGACACATTGCAAACAACACTTTTTTAGACTCTTAGATGTGAAGAGGCTTTCTTTTTTTCTTTTTTTTTCCAGTAAGTATCAAAATTGAAAAATTGAATGATGTCACACCTGCAACTGGCCAGATGTGTGGATCTCTTCTTTTGGAGCTATCCCAGAGCCAATCAGTTAGCCTGAAGAGATTTTCTCATCAGCATTTTATTAATTAGAAAAACTCTAGTTTAGGAAACGTAAGAGAATTATGATTTTTTTTTTTTTAGGCAGTGTTGAAATGCCGCAGCCACGAGAATTCGAGACCACAGGAGACTCCTCTGAGGGCAAGTTACGATCCATCACGTATGTCTGTTTAAAAAGTGGTGAAGTTGGGGAGTGGAGGCCGAGGGTGTGGCTTAGTTGGTAGAATGCTCCCCTAACATGCAGGGGGACCTGAGTCTGATCCACAGCGTTTGTATAAACAGTGTAGTCTCACTGGAGAGGTGGAGGCAGGGGGGCCAGAAGCTCCAGCTCATCCTGGGTTACAAAGCAAGTCTGAGGCCAGCCTGGCATCTATGAGACCCTGTCTTTAAAAAATACATATGTAATAAGGTTGATGATAACTTTTCCTACTAAGGCATCCCACAGTATGATAGATAGTAAATGTATTTACTTACTTGCTGAAGAAGACTCCTTTTTCTTTTGCCTTAGAAGTCAAAAGATGGGGTCCACTTAACTGAGATGTTCTCTTCTTGTTGTCTCTGTTACTAAAATGACAGGGAGGCAGAATTTCCCCTTTCCAACTTCCCTTTACTAAAGCGTAGAGGAAGCTCCCTTGCTCTTGAGAGAGTGTGACTTGGGCAAGCCACCCGGCAGGCTGCTGTTACCACCAAGGATGAGAACAGACTGAGAGCTTTGGGTATCTAAGAAGAGAAAGCACGAAGGGCAGGGTAACTTTGGAGAGAGTAACTCTAAATATGAAAACAGAATTTGGAACCAGTGTAAAAACAGCGAGCCCAGCTCACACACCACTATCCAGGCAAAGCTCGTGGCTGTCTGGCTCATATGCAGTAGGCCTTTTGGGGGGGAGTGTTTCCTGTTTACAAGATCACCCTGACTGCATATGCATCTTGCCCATTCTCAAAGACTATGCTCCAAGCAGGCACATTGGATGGGATGTTCCATTTGCCTTACCACAGCTAGCGTAGCTTAGTGAGCACAATAAAAGCATCAAGGGATGGGATGAAGAGGGCTCCAGGCTCCCCTACAACAGCTGTCTGCAGCCGGATTGACACCCTGGGGTCCTATAAATGGAATTTGAGAGGCCCCTTGAACAAGTAGCCAGCCATGCCCAACAGTGACTCTCTTTGCACATGTAGACTGGGCAACTTCTCGTCTGAGCTTCCAGTTTGCACAGTTGGCTTTGGACCCACCTAGTTGACATGGGTTACCCTTTGCATCCTGCACTCAAGCACACACCTTAGTTGTGGGGAAGTCGGCCTCTGTGGTACCGTCCTTGGCCTAAGGAGCTAGAGTAGACAGGTAGCTGCTTCCCCCTCTGTTTCCCAGGTAGAAGTTCTGAGAAACCTTTTACAAGGCTCCCAGAAGGTCCTGGGGGATGGGGTACGTACCTGCCATCGATACTAGCCATCAATTTGGTAAGGCTTTTTATATTGTATTTAATTTCTCTTCTTCACAGTCTTATCTATTCAAGTTTCTTAATTTTTGCTGGGGTCTTTATCTCTAGCACTGCTTTGCAGAGAACCCAGAGTAAGACAGCAGGGGTCAGGATATGTTAGAGACACGTGGTTTTCCTTCTAAAGCAGGGGAGGTTTATAGAGGCAAAAAGAAATGATAGTAGCTATGGTGCGTAAGTGTGACCACACACAGAAATGTCTAAAATATGGACTTAATGTCACTAGAAAACAAAATTTTTCTGACAAAAAAAAAAAATCACAATTTAAGTTGCTATATATCCCATAGTTTTCAGTGCTGCTGAAGGCACGGAAATCGGTTTAACTAGAAGACCTGTGGAGAAGTATGACAGGAGCCTGAGATCTATGGCTTCCCTAGGATAGGAAACAATGGAAATCAGACAGAAGGAAGAGGTGAGGGAACGAAGGCTTTGCGTGTCAGAAATTCCCTTATGCTGTCAGGCCCAGGCCAAGGCAAGCACTGGTTAGCTGATGATACGCAACAGGTCCACCTCCCAGGCAGCATGCTGCTGGTCCCCGCAAGGCATATAAGACTCACCAGGACTAGGACAGGGTCTCAGTAACCCGGTGGGCATCCTTTTAAAGGGTGTAGACCTGATAACTTTAAGAAAATAGCCTTCTAGATTTTTTTTTTTTTTTTTTTTTTACTTCTTGGTGTTTTTTGTTTTCCCCCTATAGTGAAAGGATTTGAATCTTGCCTGTATTTAAAAAGAAACACTTCTCTTTCACTCAACCTGAATCTTATTGGTGTGGAAACGTTCTGGAGGCCTCTTGCCTGGGCCTCTTGCTGGCCCTGGAACCTGACCAACCCTGGTTGCAGGATTTCAGGGACTGAGTCACATTTGGTTGCCATACTCATCTGCCCTTCAATAGAACACAGAGGCAAAGGCCATTCTTTCCTTTCTGGTTTCATTTTCTCTGAGAAAGGTAGTACGGAAACAATGATCACACAGTAGAAAAAGTCAGAGAGGGGCTTGCTCTTTTGGGAACAGGACAGCCTGGTCACTATGAGTGTAAGTTTAAATGGCTGGAGAGTACACAGTCTGTTAAAGACTTATTAAGGTGCTTATAGCTTAGATGGGTTATTTACCCAGGAAGCACTCACTCTCCACCTTCCTTCTCTCCCTACCTCTTCCTATCCTCTCTCCCTCCCATTACCCTTTTTTTCCCTTCTTGCATATTTTTCCTGAAAAGGTGAAACAGACAGTTGCCTTTTATTTTGTATCTACAACATCATATTATAAAAGATGATCTTGAACAAAAGGTCATGGTTTCTAGATTTTATTTAAAAAGGAAATTTAATTCTGTTCATGACACTAAAGAGTAATTTCATGAGTTGATGTCATGAGAAGTAGGTTTTCCCCTGAACTCATTTTTTTTTTCCTAGGGAGGACATAATTTTAAAAATTATGCCCATGATTATTTAGTTTTAATAATTTCGTTGAGATTAAAATATACTAAGAACCATCCAGACAGGGTGGCACAAGCCTTTAATCCAGCACTTGGGAGGCGGAGGCAGGTGGATCTGGCAGATCTCTGAGTTTGAGGCCAGTGTGGTCTACAGAGTGAGTTAAATCAAACAACCCCCCAACACACACACACACACACACACACATAGAGAGAGAGACAGAGACAGAGGGAGAGTCAGAGAGACGGTAAAAGCTACACGCTTAAAATATTCAGTTGGATATACACACAAGTCATCCCCAATGAAGACAGCAAAAGCCTGTGTTTCACCCCTAGCATTTCCATGGGTTCTGCAATTGGCCCGCTTGTCTTCTTCCAGTATTGACTTGTCTGCACATTGAGAACTGTATATTAATATGATTACACAGGATGTTCTCTTTGTCTGCTGTCCTAGCCCAAAATTTTATGTGTAGCCCCCTTTGAGTATGGGAAGCGATTTGGGCACTGGAAGGTTCTGCAGGAGGGTCAGGGTTCATATTACCACAGAACCTCCGATGGCATCTCTTCAGAGCCTCCAGCTTGGTTCTTTAGGGGGTTCGTTGAGTGGGTCCTCAGATGGCCTGCTGGTTCTTTAAGAGCACCGCATCCTAAGATTCTGGGGTTCCCTTCATAGAGCTGGACTGCCGCCTCCGAGGGAGGAGGAACAGGTTGAGAAGACAAAGCCACTGAAGGTCTCCTTCTAGAAAAATCCCTTTACTGCATATGTCCAGGAGTCTTCTAGAAACAGCAATGAGAGCTCATATACAGGGGTGGGTCCAGGCTGATCAGTGCAGGCATCGGGGTACAGGGGGCATGGAGGAAAGGTCACTCTGACCCAGCACCCCTTGTTCTTGTTTTTGTTTGCCCCTGAAGGCTGTACTCTCATCTACTGAGAGCCCAGGGGCCAGTGAAGTCCCTCAGAGTGTGGCTGTGGCTGAAGAGTGGAAGGCTGTTTGCAAGCCCGGGAAATGAAGTGGGTTTGGGGAGCTTCTCTTCGTGCGGGAAATACTGAGAGGCAGCAGCGTAGGCCGCTTGCTAGGAAGTCACCGGAGAAGATTTCAAAATGTCCTGGAAGGTCTCTAGCAAAGGCTGGGGGGCTGTGGCCTGTGGAAACGAGCCCACTGCGCTGGCGGAGGTTGCCAGGGGCAGCAACAAGGAAGGACTTCCCTGGCTGTCTTTCTGTTCTGCTTTGAAAGATGAAGCTTTCCCTAATATTCAAATGCCTCTGCCACTGGGCCGCCCTACCTGTTTACTCGCTGGAATTACTGCCTGTTTCTTAAAATTAGGGTGCGTATCTAAGTTTTGCTTTATAATATCTAGCATACATAATAAAATATACAGTATTAATATATTATATATTTGTTTTTGTTTTGAGACATAGCTTCTTTGTGTATCCCCGACTGTCCCAGAACTAGGTCTGTAGAACAGGCTGGCCTTGAACTCACAGAGATCTGCCTGTATCTACCTCCAGACTGCTGGGCTTAAAGGCCTGTGCCACCACCACCCTGCCAATATATTTCTTTAAATTTTCTACTTTTACATGCTCACAAAAGAAGTGCTTAAGCCTACAGCAGCGGTGGGAGGGGGCATAGAATATTTTATAATCGGGCTTTGTGCCTTTAACATAATCAGTGTTCAGCTGCAAGCCATTTTACAGCTGTTTTGTGAGTGGCAGGATGGGGAATGGAAGCTAACCCTGGGCTCCAGGCCTGATTCCTTTTGTGTACTAGGTCACCCAAGCTCTGAGGCGCTCTCCTCACTGGCCCGGGTTTCCTCACTAGAATGTGATGGGTTGAACAAACACTCCTACGAAACTAACATCTGATGACTTATATCACTCTTGTGGACACTTTTTTTTTGCCATTGTATGGAAGCAGAGTCCCCTTCTGTACCCCAGGACATCCCCAGACTTCTTTTGCAGCACAGCTGGTGTTGTACTCCTGCTCTGCCTGCCTTAGCTTTTCAAATGCTGGGATGACAGGCACAAGCCACCACATCTGACTGTATTATGTTCTAGTTTTGTTTGTTTGTTTGTTTGTTTGAGACCATGCAGCCCTGGCTGGCTTGGAACTCACAATTAAGACCAGGATGGCCTCTTAGAGATCTGTTTGTCTCTGTCTCCAGACCACTGGGATTAAAGATGTATACCGCCATATTTGGTGTATTCTATTATTGTTTTAAGGGTTCCCCAGGGCTGGTGTCCAGAAAGCATGTTTTCCTTGGTGAGTCATTCTTCTAGTCTTTTCCTGAGTCTTCTTTAGGATTTGCAGTCTTGCATATGGTATGTAGAGAATGTCTTGCTAAGAGAGGAAATGAGAAAGAGGGCTCATGATGTAGTCTCAACAGCCTGGGAACTGGCTCAACTTAACACTGAGCCCAGCAACTGTACATCCTTCAGGAAGGAAAGGCTAAACTAAAGTATGTCTCTGCTTTTCTGTTTTTTATTCTGAGGCACAGCCTTCTTAGCCCAGGCTGGCCCCAAACTAAAGATCCTCTTGGCTGAACTTCCCAAACGTTAGGATTACAGGGTTGTTACCATGCCCGGCTGGTTTGGTTTTATCCTTTTCATTTTAAATGCACTTTCCTACATTCAAACAATTTGGCTTCTTTCTTTCTTTGCTTGTAGAGATTTTATTTGTTTACCTAATAGTCTTTAAACATCAATCCAGGTCTAATTTTCTCTATATGCCTTCTCTGAGTATAATGATTGACTCAAGAATGTTTTCTGCATCACATTCACCACCTGTACCTCAAATAGTCTTCTTTTTCATGTTCTTTGCAGCCTAATGCTGTTCTAGTCCACTAGACACAGCTCTGTTAAGTCTGGTCATTGTATGACTCCTATACGTGCAGGAAATACTTAGCAAAATTTGGCAAATTTGGATACTATATTAGTCAAAGAACCAGAACACATACAGAGAGAGAGAGAGAGAGAGAGAGAGAGAGACTGAGAGAGAAAGAGAGAGAGAGATCTGTGAGTTCAAAGCCAACCTGGAGTACATACATAGTGAGCTCCAGGCCAGGTAGGGATACATAGTAAAACCTGCCTCAAAAAGATAGAAAGAGGGAGAAAGGGAGGGAGAGAGGGCTGGAGGGAGGGAAGGAAAGACTGGTTTTCTATATTATGAGGTTTGGCAAGCTTGAAGTCTGCGGGGCAGGCTACCAGCCTGGAGATCCTGAGAAGGGGCCGGTGGTCCTAAGGTCCTAATGGTTAATTAGCTGAACTCTCTTTTTCCAAGGGAAGGGGAACCCTTTCTCTTAAGATCTTTAACTGATTCAAGGGGGCCTGCCCACGGAATGGGGGATACCCTTCTCTACTCAGGGTTCACTGAGATAAAGGCTAATCTCAGCTATAAAATACCAACTTGTCTGGAGTAAGATCTGAACAGTTACCTGGGTGCTGTGGTCCAGCTAAGATGACATAAAGTCAGCTGCCCAGTTACCATCTCAGTTTTCTTGAATGGACCGCAGAGCAGCTGCTTTTGGATGTCCATGTCTTTGTCCCTAGCTTTTCTGTTTTCATCCTCCCCGTCTTAATTCATTTTGATGAATTTACATAGGGTCCCATCCTGAGCTTTGTTCTCCTTTGACCCTTGACTCTGGCTACTGTTAGGCTGTTAATCTCTGCTAGAGAGTCCAACCTCCCTTGTGTGTTAACTACTTCCTGTTAGAGAACATTCTTTAAGCCTTAGCTGTCACTGTGTAAATGGGCACTCAGGACACAGTCAGGTCTCTGCAGTGTCAAAGCTTTGTTGAACTGTCCTGTTTATTGAGTATCAGTGAATCTCTGCCCCTCTTAAAACAGTTTTAACTGTGAAGTGAGTAGGGGAGCAACTGGGCACCAGGACCTCTTGCTTTTATTGTATCAAGCTAGGAGTTGGCTTAATGTGGAAGCGTTAATAAATGTGAACAGTTGGGGTCATGTTAGTAGTTTGTAAAGCTACTTTTAAAGAAAGGATATAAAATTCTACTTATAAAACGACCCACCTATTGTTTTAAAATCATGTGCCTACCATACATATGGTAATCTGTAGTTTCTGTTTTTTTCTAAAAATCTTATATATAATATTGAAAAGATATTCTAAAAGATGTAAGCCAGGTGTGTTGTTGCACGACTGAAATTTCAGCATTCTAAAGGTGGAGCCAGGCAGACCATGAGTTTAAGAACAGCCCGGTCTCAAAAAAATAAAACAAAATTTAACTTTTCTTCATCCCTCTCCATACTCAGAAAACTCCGAGAGGCACTTGTAATTATTTACAGTTTGATGCTTATCCTTCCAAGCAGTACACACACACACACACACACACACTCACACACGCACGTGCACACTGCTTTAACATATATTCATCCTACCAGGAGTTATCAATTTTGCTGAATGAGAATGTCCCTAAACTCCAGGTGCACGCCTCCTATATTATTGTTGTGACTAATAGAGGATTTATTTATGCAAGAATAAAGTCATCATTGCCAAATAAGGAGAGGCTGAACGTTCGGTGCAATTTTCTTTCCCAGGTAAGTCTTTCTTTTCCTGCCTGTTTTGAAAACATATCAGAAAAGGGGATATTCCCAGCACAACTCCTAAAAGTGAGTTCTTGGGAGTGGGTCTGAAATGAGGATAAACATTTGCTGTCTTACGTCTAATGAGTCAAGACAGATCTTTGGCGTTTAGGGCCTTTCTATTGAAGCCAGGCCCTTGGGCTCGAGAGCTCGATTCATGCCTTTTGCGTCCCTGGAGACACGTCGTACTGAGGGGGGGGTCGAGGGTACTGGGGACAGTGGCCAGGGGCTTATGCTTGGAACCCAACATCTGGAACTCAACGCCTCCTTTGCTACCTTAGGGCTTTAACCACTTCACGGTCATAATTTAGGAGAAAGAAACTACTAGTTCCCCTCTAAGTTCCCGTCTGAAACACTTCTGTGATGAGCAAGCAGACACGCAGCCAACAGACCCTCGTTAGAACCGATGAGTGCCTACCATCGTCAAGCCTTCCCACTGCCTTACGGGCAGAACCCTGACTCGGGACTCACCGGCCCCACAAGCACCGCCCCTTCCGCCCTGTGCGAAGGGGCGCGAACCCGCCGGAAGCCGCTCTGCGCCTGCGCCTCGCTTGCCCCGGCAGCTCACCCAGCGGGCTCCGCCCCTGTTCTGCTCCCGGCTTCCGGTCCGGACAGCGAGGCTGCTGCTCCCGTTATTCCGCCTTCTCCTCCCGCCTGCCTAGGTTCCCGGGGACACCCCGACCCCAACCCTAACCCCGACCCCGCCCGCACTCTCAGCTCCTCCTCAGCAGGTACAAGCGGAACTCCCTGTGCCACTGTCCTGCTGACCGTGGTACCCGCTCGGCCCCGCTCTCCCCTCCAGCCGGGTGCCAGGCCCGTGCGTCCTTACAGTGACCACAGAGACTCCGTAGTCCTTCGTGGTCTCTCGTTTCCTCCTCTTCTTTCCCCACTCCTACTTCCACCCAGGCGAGGAAAACACAGGGCAGTCGGGAAGTGGACTTTAGTTTTGATTGCTATGTCATCTGTGGAGGCTCAGAGGGTTAAGGAATAATAACTTCCGACGGCTAGGTTTGGGGCAGTATGGATGCATGTGCCAGGGTGAAAAGGAATTTCAAAGGCAAAAGACACTGGGCTGCTTCCTTCATGGGTTTCCCGAATACTAGGGCAGAGCAGTAGACAGCTGCAGAAAGGGAACCCCAGAGCATTGGGATAGGAAGATTGGGTGTTAGTGCTTCGTTCGCAAAGGTCAGCCAAGCCTGGGCTTCGAAAATCTGGGCCAGGACAGAACCTTGGCCATTTACAGTCTACGTCCTTTTCCTTGACCACGCATGGGAAACAGAATTCCAGAATGAATGGCTGTTTGTGGTCACACAGCTAAGGTGGGAGTGCAGAACTCTAGGCCCTAGCCTTTGTTTAGACATTAAAAAATTAAGTAAAAATTAGGTAGTGTGACCAGGAGCTGTCTATTGCAAAGCTCAGTCCACCTGTCCCCCACTGCTTCTCCAGGTCTTTGCCGGCCTGTGCCCTTTGTCCTGAGCGGCGTGACTAGATGGAATACCGTGGAGGTGCCTGCGCTTGAGCTAAACCTGAGAAGACGTTTGGGTAAGTAGAGGGGAACAAAGGCAGTTGGATGTGGGAGGAGCTTGAGCTGAGGGCAGGGGTGAACTAGTCTTTTTGCCCCTAAGAGTGTTTGCCCCTGTTGATGGGTAGGTGGGTGGAGTGGACAGACATTGGAGCACCTGGGGAACTGGCTCAGCTGGTGCAGGGAGTGCGCACACAGGGAAGCCAGGGCTTTAGCAAGGATTTGACTTTGTGGTGGGAGTAGCATTTGCAATCCAGCACTGTAGAACTCTTACCATAGAAGACAAGCAAGGGCCTGGAGAGATGGCTCAGTGGTTAGGAGCACTGGCTGCTCTTCCAGAGGGCTCAGGTTCAATTCCCAGCACCCACAGAGCAGCTCACAAACGCCTGTAAGTCCAGGTCCAGTGGATCCAGCACCCTCACACAGACATACATGAAGGTAGAAAGCCACAGCACATAAAATAAAAATAAACTAATAAAAAATTTTAAATATTGTTGGTAAAGGGAAGATTACGAGCAAAGTATTCTAGCTTAATTATAGAGCTGGTTGTTGATGAATAATAAAAACAGTCACAAAGTTGTGCTCACTGCACACTTTATGAGAATTCATTTATTCCTCATAACACATCTGGGAGGTTGTTGCTGGATTTTGTCATTACCATATTACATGAGTCATCAAGAAGCTGCCCAAGGTTAAATTAAGGTCAGGGCTGAGGCCACGTAATGTAATAGGAAGCACTCTGGCCAAATCTCAACTGAAGGAGAAAACAGCCCTGAAGGACCAAATGAGCTTGACACTCCCCGAGAGACCAAGACACAGGTAGACAAGAGCTTTGGAGTCAGTTCTGAGCCTAAGTCCCGGCCCTACCACCCGTTATCTGTGTGACCTGATTGAGTTCTTTTAATAGTTCTGAAACTGAATCATCTGCATGTTGATTGATTTGCTCACGCTTAAGATGCATTAGTAGCAAATCTCCCAAAGAACAGGTATGAGGATTGAATGGGCTATACTTCACAGAGAGCGTGCTCAGTAAAATATAGAAGTTTGTTTGTTTTCCGATTCCTCTTCTTCTGTCCTCCCCCAGGAGTCTTAGTTGCCCCCGAAGACTGCCTGTGCCAAGCTCAACATGGGTGGGGGTCTGATCGAGAGGTACATGGCTGCCATGGTGCTGAGTGCAGCTGGGGATACCTTGGGGTACTTTAACGGGAAGTGGGAGTTCCTGCGGGATGGGGAGAAGATTCACCAGCAGCTGGCCAAGATGGGTGACTTGGAAGCCATCGATGTGGCCCAGTGGAGAGTCAGTGATGACACAGTGATGCACCTGGCCACAGCAGAAGCCCTTGTGGAAGCCGGCAAATCCCCGGACTTGGCTCAGCTGTATTCCCTGCTCGCTAAACATTACCAGGACTGCATGGCAGACATGGATGGCCGGGCACCAGGTGAGCACAGCCATGGCGTGGCTCCTAAGATGGAGAAACAGGCCCAAGGAAGGCACTAAGAGTGTAGAGGGGGAGTAGGCAGCGGTAATGAGCCTGTCGGCGTACTTAAGAGGGTTTTGATTTCAAAACTAGCCCAAACTCCATAGTGAGATTCTGTTTCACAAACCAAAAGAAGAACAGAGTTGTGGGACACTTTAATATCGATGAAACAGTAGTGTAGATTTGGATTCTTGTAACTTATTTATGGTAGCACATTGACAGTTTTATAAATTGCAGATGAATAGTTACCAACCTGGAAAGGTTTTATTGATGAAATGGAAAAGAATAGGTTTCACAACATGTGTTATAAAAATAGCTTTGTTAAAATATGAAATTGTGCCATCTGTGGTGGTGCATACCCCAAATACCAGCACTTGGGAGGCGGAAACAGGAAGATCAGAAGGGTGGGGTGGGGTGGGAGGTGCTAGAGATATGGCTTAGTATGTAAGAACACTTGCTGTGCCAGCATAAGGACCTGAGTTTAAATCCCCCAGCACCCATATAAAAAATCGCATGTGTAACCCCTGTGCAGAAGGAGACAGAGACAGGTGGATCACTGGAGCTTGCTGGCCCCTAGCCTGCCTCTAGACCCTGCATCAAGGGACTGAGAAAGAGATAGGACACTGGGCAACTTCCTCTGGCTGCTGGACACACATGGACATGTGCGCACATAGCACACACAAAAGTTGCATGTCCTCATTGAGAGAGGTCTAGAAGCATAGACGTATCAATATGTTCGCAGTTATACGTAAGTTATAAAAGTAGTCATGGTTTGTTTTCTTTTTACATCTTATTACAATTACAAAGAAAATCTTTCTTCTTAGCCACCATTGGCGAGTTTGATTTTGGAGCTGCTCTTCTTGGCTTACAGATGGGCACCATCTCTGGCCCTCACGTGTTCTTTCTCTGTGCATTCATCTCTTGTGTCTGTGTGCCTATGTGCTTCTTGTTAGATTCTCGTAGGCTTTACCCTAATGGCTCATTTTAGCTTAATCAACTTTAAATGGCCCTATCTCCAGATTAAGCCACTGGTCACTGAGGTTTTAACATATGTATTTGAATGTCAACATATGAACACAATTCAGCAAATGTAACTTCTAACTGAAGAATGCCTCACCATCAAAGGCAGGGCTCCTCCTAATCCCAAGGACTGGATTTAAAACCCATCTCTGTTCATACTTTCTTAACATCTGCTATCCACTCAGTTTGACCTGTGTCAGCCTTGGATATTGTGAGGCTGACATTTCTTGGCTCCTTCTGTAGCACTGCTCCCCACTATAGTCAGTCAGGGATAAGCTGTCATGCAAGGGACAGCCATAATCTCATGTTCCTGATACAGGCTCGGTTCTTCATTCTGGAACTTAAGAGTCTCTTTCTCATAGTCAGGAACCCCAGTAAATTCTTATTAGAGTCACTGAGGGCTTTAACTGTGGAGCTGATGTTTTTCTTCACTGTCACTGATTGGCTGGTTCTATGATCTTCGTTAAGTTCCCGACGTTTTGATTCTAACCGTATTCATTTAAAAAAAGAGTAATACGTGGTAGTACATATTTGTGATCCTAGCACTGGGGAGGCAGAATCTAACAAGAAGCACATGGGCACACAGAAATGAATGCACAGAGAAAGAACGCATGAGGACTAGAGATGGTGTAAGCCAAGAAGAGCAGCTCCAAAATCAAAGTTAACAATGGTGGCTAAGAAATACTACAAGTTTACAGCCAGCCTAGGATACACAGAATTCCAGGTCAGCCTGATTTATACAGAAAGCTCTTCTTTCAAAAAGAAATAAAAGTAGATATATTTCAGCTACCTTTTGAGTCCTCTACAACTGGAGAGATCCCAAGGCTTTCTCTGTGTATATGTTGCTTTGTTAATTCATAAGATCACGTCAAGGATTATATACAAAGAAGGCTAGCTGTTGGGATGGGGTTTGAAGTTGAAGGGCCTTCTTGTTCAGATGTCCATGGCTCTTCTTTTGTCTGGGAGAAACTTGGGAGTCTGTTAGGTTCTTTGTTCTCAGTGGTCCTTTTTTTGGTGAATGACCCCTTGCTCTGTTTGATGCATCCCTAGGTGGTACTTGCGTGCAGAATGCCTTGAGGCTGGAGCCCAGCAAGGCCAATGGCTGGAGGATTCCCTTCAACACCCGCGATGGTGGCTGCGGTGCTGCCATGCGGGCCATGTGCATCGGGCTGAGGTTCCCTCACCCTAGCCAGCTGGATATGCTGATCCAAGTGAGCATTGAGAGTGGCCGGATGACCCACCACCACCCTACAGGCTACCTTGGAAGCCTTGCATCAGCTCTTTTTACAGCCTATGCCGTGAATGGCAAATCACCGTGGCAGTGGGGAAAAGGGCTGATGGAGGTGCTGCCGGAAGCCAAAAAGTACATTGTCCAGTCAGGCTACTTTGTGGAGGAAAATCTGCAACACTGGTGAGTCTCCAGATGTGTGTCCCATTGGACATGTGGTCGAGTCTGTGTGTGCACATAGATGTAGCTAAGGTTCATAGGTCAAAGCTGCCATCACAGTTCTCACAGCCCTACCCCCTTCAGGGCTAAGGATTTCAAGCTCCTTTCCATCCCTGGTTGCCTAAAGCAGCCAAGTGGATGCTTTGGTAGGCACCTGTAGGCACCTGTATTCCTATTCTGGATTCCAGTTTTCTATAATTTTTGTGACCAGCCAATGCTGAGATGTACTTTTCTTTGTTATTTCTGCTTCCCGGAGATATTTTTTTCCCCCCAGTATTGCTTTGAAACAGTATTTTAAAACCCGTGACTGGGTTTTAAACCGTGATTGGTTTCTCCAGGAGCTAGTAAGTGGCAAAGCCACCAGTTCCTCTCTTAGGACTTTCTTCACAGTATCTTTCTTAGAAGAAGGCTCAGAGGCTCTTACTGAAGTTGCCCATGGTCGTGATGTTCCCCTGGAAAGTTGATGAGATGTTACTTTAGACCCAGAAAAACAAATCTTTATTTCCTGCCCCATAGCCTGACATATACTGTTCTACTGAGCAACTGTGTGTATGTGGGCAGTTAGTAAAAAAACATGTGGGTGGCTTGTAGAGTTAATTTAGGGTTTTTTTTTTCCTATGAATTATTGACACTAGTATGAGGAGTTGGTCTTTTCTTTATTTACACATCTTCTTGGCACTTTTCCATATAGCTTTTTCTCCCATTAATTCATTCATTTTACAGCCTGATCGTGGCCCCTCCCTCCTGTCTACCCAGTCCCACCCTCACATTCCCCTTTCCCCATTCTTCCCTCTTCTCAGAGAAAGATAGGCACCCCCTCCCCGATGGGTACCAACCCATTCCGGTATATCAAGTCCCAGCAGAACTAAGCATTTCCTCTCCTAACTTAGGCCAAACAAGGCAGCCCATGTAGGGGAAAGGGATCCAAAAGCAGGCAACAGAGTCTGAGACAGCCCTGCTCCATTTGTTAGGGGACCCCCATGAGGAACAAGCTGTACATATGTGTAGGGGTCCATATAGCTTTCAACATTAGTGTTTTCAATTGATCTCTCCTCCTCAGGTCCTTCTTCCAGAACGAATGGGAAAAGTACCTGGAACTTAGAGGAATTTTGGATGGCAAGTCGGCTCCCATCTTCCCGCAGCCCTTCGGCGTGAAGGAAAGGGATGACTTCTACATCTTCCTGAGTTACTCTGGCTGGGGTGGCAGCAGCGGACACGATGCGCCCATGATTGCCTATGATGCCCTCCTCGCTGCAGGGGATTCCTGGAAGGAGCTCGCACACCGGGCCTTCTTCCACGGTGGGGACAGTGACTCCACCGCAGTGATTGCTGGCTGCTGGTGGGGAGTGATGCACGGGTTTGAAGGTGTTAGTCCGTCCAACTACGAGAAGCTGGAATACCGCCAGCGGCTGGAAGAGGCAGCAAAGGCTTTGTATTCTCTTGGGGCAAAAGAAGACATTGTATCCAGCCCTTAGGGAGGGAGTGGTTTGTTTCTGCTGGTTTCTTTCCCTGTATCCCTTGTTCTGTTTAGTCTCTTCAGCATTTCCAGAGTCAAGAATTCTAATCTTGTGCTTGAAGAGTTTCGAGATTACAAGTCCATTGTGCACCTTTAGCCCTGCCTTTCCACACTCACCCTCCTTTCCCTGAGTTCATCTCTGTGTTTGAAAATCTTTATTTCAGTTGATGGGGTCAGCTTTTCCCATCCATTCCATTCACATAAACTTATATTTGAGTGTCTGTTTTTATCATGGAATTGTTCTAAATGCTTTGTCTGTTTTTTTTTTTTTTTTTTTTCTCTTTGATTGAGTCTCCTACCTGCCCCAAGTAGGCTCAGACAAAGATATGAGTACAGAAGTAGTTTATTTAGAAGGCAATTCCAGGAAGCATCAGTAGAATAGAGAAGTGAGACCAGAAGGGAAGGGAGCCACAAAGGGTAGGTGAATGAGCAGGGTTCTCCATGGCCATCTGGATTATAGTCTGGCTCAGTCTCTGCTCAGGGAAGTCTTCAGAGTTGTGGTGAGAGAGCCATGCCCGGTTTGAGTGTGTATTCACAGACTTTCACTTGATTGGTTAAGGCTCACTCACAGGGATGCTGTCAACTTCTCGGGACCTCTCAGCTTGTGGAAAAGCCAAACATGAATGTCTTCACATAGGCACTCAGGTGCTTGCAAGTTATTAGGCATGAGAACAGGGGCACAGAGGGGATTCCAAGAGCATCTGTGTTAGCCACTGCTGTGTTGCTGTGAAGAGACCATGGCCACAACTCTTATAAAGGAAAGCATTTAATTGGGGCTGGCTTGCAGTTTCAGAGGCTTAGTCTCATGTCAGGGAGCATGGCAGCAAACAGGCAAACAGTGCTGGAGAAGTAGCTGAGGGTTCTACATCTGGACCTGCAGGCAGAGAGAGATTGGGCCCAGCGTTAGCCTCTGAAACCTCAGACCCACTACCCAGTGACACACTTCCCCCAACAAGGCCACACCTCCTGAACCTTCTAACCTTTCAAATAGTGTCACTCCCTGATGACTAAGCATTCAAGTATATGAGCCTACGGGGGCCATTCTTGTTCAAACCACGGCAATCTTCTGGCTGCTCTGTATCCAAGTATACTACTGTACTGTATTTTTTCCCTCTGTTCCTTCCTCTTTTATGGCGGGATCTCTGGCCTAGGCTGTCTTTTAGCTCCTCAAGTAAGTGCAAATGATCTTGGACTTCTGATCTACCTGCCTTTCCCCCCGTGAGTGTTGGGATTGCAAACATTCAGGAGCATGCCTAGTTTACCTGGTGCCGGGCATCCCCCCACACCTTCGTGCATGCTGCCCAACATTGTATGAGCTGAGCTACATCCCCAGCCCGGTGCTTTTAAAACTGTCTTCTCTTCCTCCTCTTCTCGTCCTGTGCTCCCTCCTTCCCCCTCCATTTCTTTTTGATACAGGATCTTAATATGAGCCCTGGCTAGCCTGAAACGCTTGTGTAGACCTCACAGAGATCCGCCTGCCTCTGCCCCCTGAGCGGTGCGATCAAAGGTGTGTGCCACCAAGTCCACTCCTAAATGTATCACTTCATTGACTTGTGGCACTGACTCTCTCAGTTGGATTTCTGCAGTCGGGGCTGCACAAACTTAGCAGATGCTGCTGTTTGCTGTTCTGAGTCTTGCCTATGATGACCCTTAGCACGTTGTGTTGTCTGTTCAATAGTCTCTGTTCTCTGCACAGACTAGCATAGTGCCTAGGCATGCAGTAGGCACTTAGTATGGATTAACTGGACATTGTTAAGTAGCTTCCCATCCCTCACAACTCCCAGGTTACCCTTACAAATAGCAAGCTGGCTGTATTGAACCCTAGTTGTCTTCCAGTGAGTCTGTCGCCTCCTTTATATCCTGATGCTGTTTTTCTGTCTTTTCCTTCTGGTAAGATCTATCTCATCCTTCAAGAACCAGCTCAACAGACTCTTGGAGTTGAAGCCCAAACTTAGTCTTCGCTTCACCCACAGCCCTAATCTGTAGCTCTGTTCCCATGCTGAATGTGTTAAGGTGGCTGGGTATCTTTTTGGTCAGTCTTAAGGGCGTACTGCCCAGCAGAGGTCCAGCTACTACAGTTAACTCCACATGGCCACTTCAGTCTTCCAGGAGGCTTCCTTACCTGGCTCACTGCCAAGGGTGAGGACAGGTACCCCGCCTTCCAAGAAGTCAGAGTCCTGTGGCTTCTGCTTCAGTTTCCTAGTGTTTAGTGGGTTTGTGGGAGGGATGTCTCAACAATAGTCTGGGGTTTGCCTTTCCAAGTCCTTGGGTCTCTTTAGAATGTGAGACAGTGCAGGGCCCTAGTGGGTGTCATCTACTATGAGCTGGGTTGGGGCTTCAACCGCTGAGACAAAAGACTTTAGACATCCTTTTTGTATGCTGCTTCTCACCTCATCCCAGGCACACTGGGAATGTCCAGAATTTCAGAGTTGTGTGTTTTTTGTTTTTTTTTTTGTTTGTTTGTTTGTTTTGTTTTTCAAACCTCAAAAATTACTCTGAACTGATGATCCTGGAAAACGGGGGAAGAGGAAAGATGAGAATGAAGAAAAAGATGATCAATTAGATGCACAATGCCCAAGCAAGCCAATAAAAGTGTGGTCCCAGCATGAGCCTGTTGTATTTATCCAATGAACATGTATGCCGAAATCCAGGGCAGTCCTGTGCAACACTCCAGGCTACACAGAACTCTCTGGATGCTGCTTCGTTTGCCTTCTTCACTGCCGAAGGTTGGTAGGGGAACAGTTTCTTCTGTGACCTGTAAAATTAGCATTGTCCTAAGCTGTGCGTTCACCAGTGTCCGACCAGTCACCGCCACATGCAGCTTCGGAACTGCTGCCTCTAGGACTGGAGACTATCAGCCCAAATCACAGATGAGACGAACTGGGCAGCCTTGCCACTGTTATTACTTAATTTGGGGGGGGGGGGGTTCAGAGTGCCTCTCGGATTAGGTAAGGGTTTCTCCATTTGGGAAAGGGAAAAGAAGAGGGACAAACAAATGACACAGTGGGGCAGAGCAGACACAAAGTCACAAGCAGGGTGAGAGCAAGCTGAGTTGTATGTCCAGATTTGACTATTAGAAACAGATTACACACTGAAGTGTTTTTCCTACTCCTACACCACCTGACACTTTGAGCAGCAGTTCTGAGGTCATTGTTTCCCGAAGACTCAGCCGATTCCCAGAAGAGACCAGCTGCTTGCCCTCAAATCTCGTGCTGATGCCATCGACATAGTTAGCTTCAGAAGCACAGGCTGAGGGCTCCATCCCACGAGACTGCCCACTTCAGAATACCATCACAAGTCCCGGGTTGACCTGAGTGCCTCGAGACTGACTAAGCCAGACTTCCCACAACTTCCTTCTTATATCTGATTAAGCGCTGGGGCAGCTTATACAATTCAGAGATAGGCCTTGCTTCACCAGCTTATTATAAAGGCTACAAATGAAGAGCGGAGAGATGCGCTGGGTTTGCACAGGGCACATGACAAGAGTCCTTTGATTCTCCCTTTTGTGAGGCTGTGGCCTGGCATTTGCATTTATCAATAGAGGACAGTGCTTCTAACCGCAGCGTTGCCCAGCACAGCCTTCCTTATGTTCAAAGCTAACAGGCGAAGTTAACACTGTACCTGTCCTTTCACATCAGGGCTGTCTGTGTTTTCTTCATATAGGTATTCTATCCAAAAGAAATTTAAGTTTAAGTTGGGCATGGTACTGTACTCCATGCCTGTAATCCCAGCATTCTGGAGGCTGAAGCAGGAAGATTGCCATAATTTTGTGGCTAGCCTAGGCTGCAGAGTGAATGTAACATCATTCTGGTCTACATAATGAGTTACAGTCAAGCCTAGACTATATACTCTCAAAACACCTCTTGCCTACCCTCCCCAAAGCTTATTTAGATAAAATCTTAAAGTTCACATTACTACAACTGATAACGTGGAAAGAAGTGGCAGGGATTGAGAGGGTGAAACTAAGAAAGGTGATTGTTGAACATAGACTTGAGAAAAAAAAATCTCCAACAAAATGACTTCTGCCAAAGGCAGCCCAGGGGAGGCTGCATTTGAGGTTAAGGTGGGTTTTCTTGATCCCTCAGCCTTGAGTGCATGAGACCGGGACAGAGACATGGTGCTAACTATGCAGCTAGACCTAAGGAAGGCGTGCTCGGATACTGCAGAAAACTGTCCTTGAGAGCCCTCAGCTACCAGGCATGTCCACTGGGCCTCACATCACTGGGACTAAAGGAAGGTAGAGTGTGATGTCTTGAGGGCTAGTGAGAGGTGATGTTTTTAAAAGGCAGGGGTGGGAGTTGAGACAGAATATCTCCCGAGGACTTAGAAGAAAATGGTGATACCTAAGGACACCTGATATTTTTATAAAGAAGTCATAAATACACACACACACACACACACACAAAGACAGCATCTTCAACAAATGTTTCTGGTCAAACTGGATGTCTGCATGTAGAAGAATGCAAATAGAAAAAAAAAGAATGCAAATGCAAATAGATCTATACCAATCACTCTGCACAAAACTCAAGTCGAAGTGGCTCAAAGACCTCAACATAAAATCAGTCACACTGAACTTGAAAGAAGAGAAAATGGGAAACAGCCTTGAATGTATTGGCACGGGGGGACAACTTCCTAAACAGAACAATGGCAGCACAGGCACCAATAAATGGGACCTCATTAAACTGAAAAGCTTCTGTAAAGCAAAAGGCACTGTGAATTGGACAAAGAGGCAGCCACAGAAGGGGAAAAGATTTTCACCAACTCCATATCCGATAGAGATCTAATATCCAAAGTATATAAAGAACTCCAAGAAATTAGATATTAAAAAACCAAATAATCCAATTAAAAATGGGGTACAGATCTAAACAGAATTCTCAATAGAGAAATCTTAAATAGCCAAGAAACAAACAAACATTTTACACCCTTAGCCATCAGGGAAATGCAAATCAAAACAACTCTGAGATTCCATCTTACCCCTTTCAGAATGGCAAAAGATCAAAAAATCACGGGACAGCTCCTGCTGGCAAAGATGTGGAGCAAAGGGAACAATTCTCCATTGCTGGTGGGAGTGCAGACTTGTACATCCACTTGGGAAATCAATATGGCGGTTCATCAGAAAACTGGGAATCCATCTACCTCAAGACCCATCTATGACTCTTGGGCATATACCCAAAGGACACTCCATCCTGCCCCAAGGACAGTTGCTCAACTATGTTCATTGTGGCTTTGTTCATAATAGTCAGAATATGGAAATAACCTAAATATCCCTCAACTGAAGAATGGATAAAAAAAATGGTACATTTACATAATGTGAAGTATTACTCAGCTGTTAAAAAAGGACATCATGAGGCAGGCCAATAGATGAAAATAGAAAAAAAAAAATCATGAGTGAGGTAACCCAGACCCAGAAAGACAAATATGGTATGTATTCATTTATAAGTGGATATTAGCTGTTATGTAAATGATATCAGACCCAGAAAGGTTAGGTAAAGAAGAGGGCTCTAGGGGGAAGCATGGATCTCCCTTGGAGAGGGAAAATTGAATAGAATAGATTTTGCAGATGGACTGGGGGCAGGTGAGGACAAGAGTGGGAAATATCAGACGAGGGTTGAGTGATGGAAAGAGAGAGTGCGAGGAGAGACATCTAGAATTGAGAGACATTGGGGTGTGGGTGAAAATCTAGTGCAGTGGAGACTTCCTAGAATCTATGAGAGTGACCTTAGTGAGGACTCCTAGTAATGGGGACATGGAGTCCAAACTGACCATCTTTCATAGCCAAGCAAGGCTTCCAGTGGTGGGACTGGGTTGCATTTGGTTGAGTTGTTGGCTGAGGGGATCCCATGGGGATCCCTTAACAACCCAGGCTGATGCTAGGACAGAAGGCCCTCTCTGGAAATGGACAGTGGTACCCCATTGCTGAGGACAACGTCCACATAGCTCATTGAACATAGAGAGGTCGAGCTGGTGCCTGCATAGAGCCTTCGTTCCTACGTTTTAATCTCTAGGGTAAGAGAAGGTGCTCTATTGTCTATGGAAAGAGAAAGCCGGACACGAACTCAACCGCAAAACCCTCGACCTGCAATGTTTTATATGAAAGATGTACTAGGGCAATGGCAGTGCAGAATCTGTGGGAGTGGCCAACCAATGTTTGATTTAACTTGAGGCCCACGCCATGCTCTACACTACCTGGATGGCCCAGAGACCTGGGGTGAACCAAACACAGCAGGCAAAAAAAAAAAAAAAAAAAAAAAAAAAAAACAATGAAATGATTCCCAATGATATTCTGCTATACTCATAGGTTGGCGTCTTGTCCAGTTGTCATCAGAGAGGCTTCCTCTGGCAGCAAATGGGAATGGGTGCACAGAACCACAGCCAGACATTATGCAGTGAGAGAGAGAGAGAGAGTCTACATTAGAGATCTCCATTGGGGCCCTCCCCTTGGAAATCTGGGAATTCCACAGAGGAGGAGGAAAGATTGTAGGAGTCAGAGGAGGGTAGAAGACACCAGGAGAGCAAGGCCCACGGAATCAACTAAGCAGGGCTCATATGAGGCTCACAGAGACAGAAGCGGCAAGCATGAGGCCTGCACTGGCCCACACCGGATCTTCTGTGTACATGTGACGGCTGTTACGTTGCTGTTTCTGTGTGTCTCTGAATCTTTTGCCTGCTCTTGAGACTCTTTTCCTCCCATGGGGCTGCCTTGTCCAGACTGGATATGAGGGTTTTTGCTTTGTCATGTTGCATCTTGTTTTGTCCTGTTTGACTGTCAACCCTTGGATGCCTGCTCTTTTCTAAAGAGGAAAGAGACAGGAGTAGATCTTGGGGAGAGAGCAGGTGGGGAGGAGTTTTGAGGAGTGGAGGGAGGGGAAACTGTGGTCAGGACGTATTGAATGACAGAAGAATCTGTGTTTGAAGAAAAGAAAATGGTGACCATGAGGCCTTCTACGGACTGTGGGAGCTGGGTGTAGGGGATGATAGGGGGTAGTGATTTGTTCTTCACCATATATCTTCATACATTTCAAATTTTAAAAATGTAGTGTGTGTGTGTGTGTGTGTGTGTGTGTGTGTGTGTGTGTGTGAGTTCATGTCTGCTGACTTCCACTATCTTTTGAGACAGTTGTCTCTCATTGAACCAGGTACTCACCAATTGCCTAGGCTGCTCCAGGGCTACATCCAAGGCCTGTGTTCAAAGCCTGTGTTCTGGGCTTAACCTGCCCCGCTCTAACCCCCGACTCTGCATCACCCGTGTACGTTTCTTAAGGTGCCGTAAAGCGCGTTGTGTTGTTAGCACTCTCCCCCGCAAAGCTGTTGTTTAGAAAGGGTGAAGCTTGCCTTCTGTGGGCTTGCTTCCGTGGCAGGAACCCTGGCCTGGCAAGAGCAGCAACACGTCTCTTCTCAGACGAGACTCTCTTCCCTGGGACTTGACTTTCTAGTCTCAAGGGGCTGTGGAAGGCAGCACTCTGTAGAACCAAATTCAGTCCCCTTTCACTCCGTCCAGTACGTGTGTCATTGGCCGCACACTGGGTGAGACCTCTGGGGATTCAAAAGTGAAAGAGGTTTCCAGCCCCCAGCTGCACAGCTTTCCCAGGGACAAACATGTCCACAGAAATTCCATTCCAGTGAGAGTTTTGTAACCACGGGGAGATGAAAGGCTGCCTCGGTCATTGCTGACATTTCATAATGGGAAATGGAAGATGTGTGGAAAGCCATTTCCTGATCTTGTTTGGCACAGAGAAGAAGAACAGTGTGTTTCAATATCTCCAGCTTTAAAAAAAAATGTAGGAAGGGTGCTCATTTTCATTGAGAAGAAGAAACTGAAAACTCCAGAGCTTAGACAAATAGGAAGGTTTATTTATTTCTTTATTTTACAAGCTGTGGGGCCAGTTAATGATTATTAAGTCCCAAGTGGGTGTTGCATGTTGGGTGGGAGGCTGGGCTATGTGCTATCCCAGGCTTCAGGACTTTCCTTCATTCTGGCTCAAGACTCCAGCCCAGCGATGCCTCCTGGCCTCTGGGGGAGACACTTCTGGTTGTGGGGACCACTCTTATGGCTCAGCATTTCAAGTTCAGGTAAGCCAAGAGCTTGGGCCTTGGGCGGACTCTTGTTTCTTAAAGTGCCTTCTTACACAGCACTGACTTTGGAAGGTCCCCTGAAAGTCCTTTATCTCTCCGGAGGTGATTTTAAAATAAGAGGGGAAACCCTCTAATCATAATGGGAATGGTGGTGAGACCAGCAGCTCCTCGGGTTACCAAAACTGATCTTCCCCCAATCTCCTGACTAATTTTTCTAAAACCCAAATTACAAGCCAAGGTGACTGTAACACACAAACATTGATTAACTCTCAAATACAATACTCCTTTTCATTCTACAAATAGTTGCTGTTTCAAGATGTGGTTAATTTTAAAGTTGCCAAACGAACTTTGGAAAGCTTGAAGAACAATTTGGCCATGTATACACACACACACACACACACACACACACACACACACACACATTCACATATGCATCCACACACGTATGCACATGCATTGCACACAAATACACACACACACACACACACACACACACACACGCACATTTGTGGCACAGGGAGTGGGGATCAGCAAGCCTGGAAAGAACTCCTCTCTCCACCTCCCAACAGCAGACTGCTTTTCTGTTCTCCCCTAAGAGTTGCTCAGACTTCGGGCTGTGTCTAGCCTTCAGCTTCCCTGAAGAGTCTTTCCTGCTCCCTGCTTTCTTGCAGCAATCCCCTGCCCTGCTCAGCAGTCCTTCTTAGCTCCACCCCAAGTCCAACTTACACGGATCTATTCTCTCCGTTCAGCCTGGGCAGCTTTTCAAGGTGCTGCTAGGTTTCTGCTTTCTCCCTCTCTCTCTCTCTCTCTCTCTCTCTCAATGTGTGTGTGTGCGCGCGCCTGGGAGTATTTTCCCCTGGGTTTGTTCTTACAAGTGGTGGGTTTGGGGCTCCAGTCTCTAGCATAGACTTCACCCAGCGCTCTCTGTATTTAGGGCATGTTCAGTGAGTAGTACTGCCTTGCTGTGCATCGAACAGGGGGAGCAGACGCTGAGTCAGCGGACACTTACTGAGTATCTGTCTTTGTGTCTTATCACCTTGAGGAAGTGACTTTTCTTTCTCTGTCCTTGGTGATTATCCTTATCAAGTTGGAACGCCATAAAGGACCCATGCGGTTTGTGTACAAATCTGACCTCTGACTTTTGCTTAAGTTCAAGTGATTTTATTATTAGTGACTCGATGATGGGAGAAAGGGGGGCAGAACTGTCACAAGCCGCTTTAGGAAGAAGATAGGACACTCCTAGGAGAGCTGAGGGCTCACCAGGCTCTTTTGCTGCTTCACAGCTGCTCTGTCCCTGCTGAGGGGCAGCAGGTATTCACTGCCAGGCCTGATTTGAAATTTGAGGGTGGGAAGACTGGAAGGGAATTGCCCTCACACTCTCTTTTCAAGCTTACCTCGCAGCAAGCTCAGAGTTTCAGACACAGACAAAAGGAGACCAGGAGTCCTGAGCCAGGGATCGGGTTGGGGTTAGGATAAAAACGGATCCAGTTCTACATGTTCGAGGGATTCCGGATCCACAGGGGCAATGCTTGCTAGCAGGGTCTCTGGAGTTTTTACCCCTTGGCAAGGCTTTATTTGCTGCTGGTTCTCACACAGGCCTTGGGGGCCCAAGGTTTCTATTTCCCAGTTACTTCTACCTTTCCGCTGTAACTAAGTTTCTGTTGTCAGCAATGACAACATTTCTTGGATTAATGTTTCCTGTTCTTTAAAGAGGGCTATTCTGGAAATCCAGTGGGTTGGTAGGTAGGCAGAGATAGAAAAGGAAAAAGAACATAGTGGCTCCCAGAGGAAGAAGATGAGAGAAAAGGGGATTAAAGGAGGCAGAGAGATCAAGGCAAAGGAAAGGAAGAGTGTCAGAGGACCATGAGCAAGGAAGGTACCTGTGTGCCTATTGGCCAAGATGATCCCTCTCACCACCTTGCTGTCTTGGCGGGGAACATGCCAGGTTCTTCATGGCCACCCAGGTGATAAGCTGAGACGTTTCCCTTCTTTAAATGTTTTTATGAATTATGCTGATTGTGTGTGTGTGTGTGTGTGTGTGTGTGTGTGTGTGTGTACGTCACAGTGATCATGTTGAAGTTGGAGGACAGTTTGGACATTGGGATCCCAGGTCATCAGGCTGTGTGGAAAGCATCCTGAAGTGTTGAGCCATCATGGTCCCTGAGTGTTTTCTGAAGCCGTCTCTAACCTGAGTCCGGTGGCTTTCCAGGTCTCCTCTGAGCACCACAGGCATCACTTTCCAGCCTCCCCCAAGGTTTTGTGTTTATTTCCACTTTCTTTTTGCAACTTTTTGAGTTTTTGAGAGCAGCTGTGGCTGGAGTCCTTGAGTCCTGGAGCTTTGATTGCTTAAGGAAACAGCAAGATGGGGCCCTCGTTTCCATTTCCTGACATTTATGTAGGCTGGTTAAAAGATCCTGGACCTGAAAGAGCACTTTGTCCCAAAAAGGATCTCTAGGGTGACCCCTGCTAGTTACTGCTGACAAAGTGACTCATAGACCAGTTAAGAGCACAGCTGTGTGTAAATTTAACTTTTATTCACCTGATTTATTACTGCTAACTCTAGGCCTAGTCCTGGAAGCTTCTAGCCTCTGTACAATCTAATCTAGGCCTAGAATGTTTTCAGCCTCTGAGACTTACTGCTGAATAAGCTCACCCTTTCTTGTTCTTTTTGAACTCTGGCTGGTTGGTTCAATTAGCTGTTCTGGTTCAAACTCCTGTCTGAGCTCACTGATTTAATCTGACTTTTCTCAGCTTCTGCCTTTTGGCTCTGCTTGGCCTCATGCTAACTCTGGAAATATGTTCTTATCTTATGCATCCTCCTCATTATCTGGTTCATTCTATCTTCACCTTTGTGTCTAACTTGTTCTGTCTCTGTGTAACTCTCTGGGTAAAACTGCCTCCTCCCTCTCTCTGGGTTGCCCTCCTAAGTCCTCTTTTTACCTCTCTGTTCTCATGAGAGTTGGGCAAATCCTATTCTGTCAGTATTTTCTCTGATTCATCACTTTATCTGTTTCTCAATTAGACTTCACTTTCAAACGTGGGTGCTTCGTTCTACAAACTAACTTTACCTTCACTGTTTGGAATTAAGGTGTGTACGAAGGGCACGTCTGCATTTCAGCCAGAGGGATTAAAGGTGTGTGGTGTGTCTGCACTCCAGCTGGATGTCATAGGCCTTCGGACGTGGTCTCCAGCCACAGCAGCCTTGTTTCTGGATTAAAATCCCTTTACAGCTGTGTTTGTAGGGGAGGCTAGAGGCTTAATGAGGGTGCCAGAAAGCTCAGGGTCTATCTAACCCTAAGTTGAGCTGGGGCTGAGGAGAAGCAGCCAAGATGGCCTGGGATACACCATCCTTCCTGTTGCTTATGTCACAAAAATGGAGGCAACCAAATAAAGTGAAAGCCACAATTTACAAGATTTAAACCGAATAAGGCATGAAACTATATTCTATTTATGAAAACATAGCTCTAAGGACATGGTGTGACCCTCTTACAAACATTCTATATGTGTGAAATGTTTTTGTTTTTGTAAAATGCATATGCTGGGCCTGTGTATGAAATCCTTCCCGTGGTTACAGCTCAGTGGTAGAGAGCTCTTACCTAGCATGTGTAAGACCTTTTGTTTAATCTAGGCCAAATTGATTATTTATTCACCTTAACTCAGAAGCAAGATTTGATGGTCTTTGGGCAATGACGTCACATTTTATATCTTCTAAACAGACAGGATGCTTTTGTGCACAGGTAGGGCATCCGGGATGAGGATGAAAGATTCTCATGTTCAGTTTCATCAACAGTCGGGCTAGATTCTTCAAACCCCTCACTTCACGTGTGATCCTAGTTCGTCCAACTTCACCGGAGGCCTTGGGTCCCATGGCTGACACCCTGAACCTCCACCTGCTGTCCTTGCCTTGACATGCACTCTGAGCTCCATCCAATCTTCCAAGCCTTCCTCTTCTCTTGGACAAGAGAAGCACCAGGGATCTCACTCTCTCACTCTCAGTGTTTATTCTGGGTCCACGTTAATACAGTGAGTGTCCCATGAACACTGGCTTGGTCATTCCCTACCAGAGGGTTTTCTCAGGGAGGGCAAAATTATGTCTTCCTTCTTACGTAATTTACTCATGGCATAGCTAGACAAAGAGGAAGGTTCCCAGAGCCTTCTTGAAATCCACTCACCCTGAGCACTGGCTGGTGGTGAGCTTTGGAGGAAATGCATCCATCAGTTAGAGCAGAGTGCAGCTCCTTGCTTTGGCTAAGGAGACTCTCTGTGGACTTTAGAGGGTGGTGACTGGAACAGACATGAAGCACATTTGTGACCTGAAACACTCCACTGAACAAAGTTAAGGGGACTGGAGCAGGGGTGAAACTGTGTAGAACAAGGTGATTGGAATCCCACTGGAGGCAGCTTCTATTCTGTGTGCCTGGCCTGAGAAGCTCTGTGTGAACATGAAAAGGAAGAAGAGAGAGGGCCTCTCCCCCCAAGCCAGATCTGTTGTCTCTGAGCTTTCCAAGTTCACTCTGCTCTCCCAAGAGAAAAACTGAAGGTGACCTGCACAGAACTATCCAGGATCCTCTCATGGCCCCAGAGGAACACCGTGGACAGAGAACTGTCACAGCTATAGACATATTGACACCTTCCCTTCTGAATGAAAGTCTGGCTGGATGATTGACTTCCAGGTCCCTTTGCCATCCTTCATAAAGCCCTCGGTGTGCCAGGAAATCCCAGGTCTGCTTACAAGGGAATTTTCGGTCCCCAAAGCCTAACAGCTCTATCCAAGTTAATCACCCCAGAGAAAAACAACCCCAGAACAAGAGAACCTGGAGGCCCAGTTCTCCATTACCAGGGGATTTGGGCTCCGTCACCTGAAACACTCCTGCACCACCTTCCATTTCTTACAAGAGTATCCTGGAATGGCTTCTAAGGTCTTTCCTCCCACCAACCACTTCTCTTTTCTCTGAAGAGTCTTGTGTTCTGAGTTGACTGACATATTCTTCAAGGCC